TTAATTTCTTCCTTGATCTCCTTGGTAACCCATTCATTGTTTAGTAACATGCTATTTAGCTTCCATGTGTTTGAATGTTTTTGAGTGTTTTTATTGTAATTGAGTTCTAGTTTCATGCCATTGTGATCTGAGAAGTTGGTTGATAGGATTTCAGTCTTTGTGAACTTGTAGAGACTTAGTTTGTGTCCTAACATGTGGTCTGTCTTTGAGAATGTCCCAGGTGCACTTGAGAAGAATGTGAATTCTGCAGTTTTGGGATGTAATTCTCTGTAAATAGCTATTAAATCCATTTGATCTAGTGCATCATTTAGAGTCTCTGTTTCCTTGTTAACTTTTTGTCTAGAGGTTCTATACAGTGATGTCAGTGGGGTGTTGAAGTCCCCTGCTATGATTGTATTGCTGTTGATTTTTCCTTTGAAGTCCTCCAGAAGTTTTTAAATATATTTTTGTGCTCCTATATTGGGTGCATAAATGTTTACCAAGGTCATAGCCTCTTGTTGGATAGATCCTTTCAGTATTATGTAGTGGTCTTCTTTGTCTCTAGTTATGTCCTTCATTTTGAAGTCTATTTTATCGGATATGAGTATTGCTATCCCAGCTTTTTTTCCTTTTTATTTACTTGTAAAATTTTTTTCTATCCCTTCACTTTCAACCTATGTGAGTCTTTTGTTGTGAGTTGGGTCTCTTGTAGACAACATATGTATGAGTCATGCTTTTTTATCCATTCAACTACTCTGTGTCTTTTGATTGGAGTGTTCATTCCATTTAAATTTAAGGTTATTATTGATAAGTATTTATTGCTATTTTTGTTTATTATGGTTATGTTTCTCTTCCTATTTCTTCTCCTTATTAAAGCAGTTCTTTTAACATTTCTTGGTGTGCTGGTTTTGTGCTAATATATTCCCTTAGCCTTTTTTTTTTTTTTTTTTTTGTCTGGGAAACTCTTTATTTTATCTTCTATTTTGAATGATAGCCTTGCTAGATATAGTAGTCTTGGATTCAGATCCTTGTTTTTCATTACCTTGATTACTTCATGCCTTTCCCGTCTGCCCTGTAGTGTTTCTGTTGAGAAGTCAGCTGATGGCCTCATGGGGGTTCCTTTACAGGTAACCTGTGACTTATCTCTTGCTGCCTTTAAGATTCTCTCTCTGTTTTAATTTTTGGCATTGTTATTATTATTTGTCATGGTGTGGGCCTATTTGGGTTCTTCTTACTTGGGGCTCTCTGTACTTCTTGAACTTGTATGCCTTTTTTCTTCACCAAGTTAGGGAAGTTTTCTGTTACTATTTCTTCAAACATATTCTCTAACCCTTGCTCATTTTCTTCTTCTGGCACGCCTGCGTTGCAGATGTTGTTATGTTTCATGCTGTCCCACAGTTCTCTTAAGCTGTCTTCTTGCTTTTAATTGTTTTTTCTTTTTGGTTCTCTATGATTGGGTGATTTTTTTTTCTACCCTGTTTTCTAATTCCCTGATCCGGTCTTCAGCTTTCTCTACTCTGCTGGTTATTCCTTCCATTGTGTTCTTTATTTCTGCCGTGTCATTTTTCATTTCCCCTTGGTGGTTTTTCATTTTCAGTTGGTTGATTTTCAATGTTTCTATGTCTTTCTCATGCTGTTGAGCTCTTTACTCATGCTGTTGAGCTTTCTCATAACCATAACTCTGAACTTGATCTCTGATATCTTGCTTAATTCCATTTCATTTATCTCTTCTATAGAATTCTCTTGTTCTTTCACTTGGGGTTAGTTTCTTTGTTTCATCATTTTGGCGGTCTCAATGCATTTTGGAGCCTGCCAACATTTTTTATGGGTGTTGGTGTTCCACTGTCTCCCACTACTAGGTTTGAATGAGTGTGGGAGGACCCACATTAAACACCACTGTGAAGTCTTACTTTCCTAGATAGATTTGTAGGCCAAGCAAAGGTTCTGTTATCCTCTAGGTTTTGCCTGAAGGCTGTTAGTCTCAGTTACTTGATGAGCTTGGATTTGTAGCCCTCAGCTGAATGAAAAATCCCTCAGGTTTAAGAGAATTTCCAACAGGACTGGCATTTGCTTTCTGTCAGACTCTAGCTGTTAATGAATCTCAATTTGCATTTCTCTAGCCTGGCATACTGGTGTTAAATTCTTGAAGGAGTTTCCGTTGCTTCTTCCTGGGGCTTTGGGAAGGGGCTCTTGGAGTAAGATGGCTACTGTCCTATGAAGGAGTGATTTAGCATGATACTATCAGTGTCGCCCCTCCCCTGTGCCACAGACCCAGACTTTCTTTACACAGTTCCAGTCCAGTCTGCCCTCCCTCTGCTAGAGCCCAAGGTGAGGGGCTGTAGCTGATTTGGTGCTTTTTCAACCCCAGCCTTCTCAATGGGAACTGCTCACAGCTAAAAAAGCCCTCAGCTGCTGCCCATGGGCTCTCAGCTCACTCTCTCATGCCTTCGCAGTTCCTACTAGGCTCGATTTGGTGTCCTCTTTCCATCTCTGGTTATACGGGTCCTCTCCAGCTGCTTTTCAGTTGGCTTTTCCTGATGATTTGTCTTTATTTTAGTTGTAATTCCATTTTGGTCCTGGGAGACGGTGTGTATAGCTTCCATTCACTCCGTCACTATCTTTTTCCTATTCAGTCCAGCAGGCTGGAGGTCTTTTAAGGATACAGCTATACAGGGATGTGTTTGAAGCAATTAGAGTAGATAGATAGTAGTCTATCCTTATTTGTGCTTTCACTTTCTGTCGTTTCAGTTTCCAGTGGTCAACCCATCAATATAAAAAGCAGGGCAGGCAACACACACAATACCATAGTGAAGGTCATTGTGGTAGTTTCTGAATATCCCCAAGTCACTCCATTCTTGAAATACCCACGTCATCCTCTCTCCAGAGCTGGCACAGCTCAACTTGAAGAGAGATTTATTTGCCTTTAGTTTCAAAATCTGGCTATCTTGAGGCAACGCAGCACAGACTCTAGAACCAAATTGCCCGTGTTCAAATTCTGGCTGCACTCCTGTGTAACTTGGAACAAGTTATTAAACTCTTTCCTTGGTTTCTTCATCTTTTAAAAGAGGATGATAACAGTAGTATCTACTTCATAGGACTCTTGAGACAGTTAAGTGAGTTAATATATGTAAAATGCTTAGAATAGTACCTGGCCCATAATAGTATATCTGTAAAAGTTACCTATCATTATCACTAAATTACTACTATACTCTACTTATTTCAATGGCAGTGCCTTTTGGAGGACCACCAAAAAATTCTGTTCTCTTTTCCAGCTTTCTACATATTTGAAAACAGTAATGAAATCCTCACTGAGCCTCTGTTCTCCAAGATAAGCATCCCCATTTCCTTCAGCCTTTGTTTATGAGACTCTTCTATGTCCTGGAGGCTTTCCTGGATAATCCTTTATCTGTCAATATGTTTTCCAGGAAGGGAGCATAAACACGAACGCTCTATAAGTGGTCTAACAAGGACAAGTAGAACAAGACTCTTCTTCTTTCTGGTCACTGTACTGCTTGGAAGGTAGCAAAAAATCAGGGGGATGTTATACAGGTTCCACTGGCTGCTTCTATTTCTCCTGTTCTTTCCTTTGTCCCTATCCAGAATGCTGTTCTTCATAGCCCTTTGCTCCTCACTGTAAAACACTATCCTGTCACTATGGATTCAGTTATATTTGCTTTTGACGCCCATGTCTACATCCTTAGATGTAAAGTGTCAGCTCCTCAAAAGCAGAGACTTCAGTTCATCTGGGTCTAGCACAGTATGTAACTCCTAAAAGGCATTTAAACATTGAAATGAATGTATGTAGAAAAAAAATTAAATACATTAGATCCACATCCATCTAGGTTTTCATTCAGTTTCCCCATTTCAGTTCAGTGGCTACCTTATTTTGCCCTATTACTAACGCATAACATTTAATCTGTTGCCACATCTTGATGATTTCTTTTTTATAATGACCCTTAGACCAGACCCTAATTATTTCCCAAGTGAAATGTCAATGTCTTATATCTAGTGGCATAAACACAGCAGAGAATTAAAAACATGTTAGAGGTAGCTTCTACCGTTAAACGTATAGACTAGTGGCTATGCATTGAAACATTCAATCTCTGTATAATTAAAAAAGTAATACACGCTTGATGAAGAAAACCTTACAGTTACAGAACAGCACAAAGGATAAAAGCAAATTAAAATCACTTCAAGAAACATTTATTGAGGACCTAAGACAAACTCCCTTTATTCAAAGAATTTAGTTTATAGATATACCCACCAATAAACAGCCAATTGAAATACAGTATGTAAGTTCTTTCATTGAGACACATGTTGGTTTTGCAAACGGAGATATTTTGGGCTCAGTTACTGAGGTTGGAATTTGCCAAACTCACAAGGGTATTCCAGGAAAGGAAAACACCACATGCAAAGGCACTAGGTTCATTCAGGGTACTCTAAATTGTGGCCAGAGTAGAAGATTCAACATCTCTTTTCTTCCCAACATGAAAAAACACCTTGAGGACAGAGACTTTGCTTTCTATCTCTTTTGTTTGTTTTGTATTTCCTATAGCACCTGATACTTAAGACTAAGCTATTTTTTCATTTATATGCTCATTATCAGCATCAGCACAAGAAGGCCCTGGTGGCAAGGTCCATATTTTATAGAGCTTTGTATCCTGCATGGTGAATAAATTATATATTGGTTGCATTTATATAAATGTAATATGATTTAATGGGCTAAGTTATTTTCATAAAGACTTGAGTAGTTCCAGTTTTTATACAAATTTTCTTTTTAACCATTGCAGAATTTATTTTTTATCCAGTCTTTCTTTATGAAATTTGCCCCTCTTAGTACTTCTTCCCTAATATAATTGCCTTCCCTAAAAGGTACGTTGATTTAGTCTGATACTGCATGAGTTGTTTGCTTTATACTGAGACACATAGATGTTTGATAATGCTTTCTAAGACAATAGAGACAAAGTTTAAACTAGAATGACAGCAGAGAATATTGTTTCAGCTCAGTTTTCACATTGCAGGGTGAAGCAGCTGACTGATGAGGAGGAATGTTGTATCTGCATGGATGGTCGTGCTGACCTCATCCTGCCTTGTGCTCACAGCTTTTGTCAGAAGTGCATTGATAAATGGTAAGTTATCTGCAGTATCATGGGATTGGCAAAGGTCTAACGGGAGCATCATGTATCTGAATAAACTTCAAAAAATACAAAAATATTGTAGTTAAGTATAAGAGATTTTGTTCTTTAGTGCTTTGAATTTTATTGCATGCCTCCTAATGGTTAAAACTATTTTTATTTTTATACCTAAAGTTTATAAAATGTAGGGATGTATTTTAGTCTTGGCAGTTTACTTTTACTATTAAGGAGATTTATGCCTGACTTGAGTCTAGAATCACATGCTTTCCTTTTTCTTCTTTCTACATTGCTCTATTATATATGACTAGAAGAAGCAATATGAACTCTTGAATAATTGGACCTTGAAAGATCAGCTAGACAAGCTCATTAGTGTTTTACAAATAAGAATCTCATTTAGGAGAATTTATAATTGATATATAATAAACTACATATGTTTAAAGTAAAATTTGATGTTTTGACATGTCTACACATGCACAAAAACCATCATCACAATACAGATAATGAACAAGTCTATCACCCCAAAAAGTTATGTTGTATCCACTGTAAAATTTCCTTCCCATCCCTTCCTTCCAATGCTCAGGCAACCACTATTCTGCTTTCAATCACTACAGAATAATTTGGATTTTCTAGAATTTTTATAACTGAAATCATAAAGTATATACTCTATTTTTGTCTGGCTTCTTTCATTCAATATAATTATTTCTATTTTTACCCATGTGGTAGCATATTCCTTTTTATTGCTGAGTAGTATTCCTTGTACAGCTTATTTATCCATTCACCTGTTGCTGGACATTGGGTTGTTTCCAATTTTTAGCTATTAAAAATAAAGCTTTTTTTTTACTTTGTTTTTATTTTTTTTGACAGTGTTTCTTTTGCTAAAATAAATGGAAATGCAGTCCCCAAATTTAGAAGCCAAAAACATCACTTTTATTGAGAACCTACCCATCTATCCAAAAGTATAAAATATAGATCTCTTCAAATATCAAGTGAAAGACATTTATCCTTATAATTATATAAATATAAAGTAAAACAATGTAAAACCACTTTCACTTATAAGAAGGACAAGATTTTAACACACACAGTATTTGACAAGCTTGTGGAGAAACTAGCACTTTTATATATTGTAAGTCAGTATATAAATTGATGCAACTCCTTTGAGGACATTTTGGTAATATCTATTAAATTAATAGTTTTTTAACACTTTTTAAAAAATATGTTTTAATTGATTTTAGGGAGGAAGGGGGGGAGAGAGAGAGAAACATCGATTGGTTGCCTCCCGTATACACCCTAACCAGGGATCAAACCCACAACCTGGGTATGTGCCCTGACCAGGAATATGTAGAACCAGTGATGTTTCAGTGCATAGGATGATGCTCAACCAACTGAGCCACACTGGTGAGGGCCATATTTTTTTTAACTTTCAAAAGGAACTTTATTGAGGTGTAACATACACACAATAAAATGCACCCATTTTATGTGTATATTTCAGTATATTTTGACAAACTTTTACGATCATGTAACCAGCATGACAGTCAAGATACAAAACATGTCCCTTTCCCCAAAAAGTTTAGTATCTGTGATAGAGTCAGTCATAGGAATCAGAGATCTTTGTTTATATTACAGTTGATATATATGTAAGTCGCGGATATTACATCATATTACGTAAATGTCATTCACTCTGATCACTACTTTGAAATCATATTAGTTTTCAGACTCACCAAGATATATTTACACATAAAGCTTTAATATACATTTGTGGACAAGTCATTTTATGGATATATATTTTGGGTGGTTTTTTTCCTTGGATAAATACCTAGAGTGGTATGGCTAGATCATATGATAGGTATACTTTAAATTTTTAAGAAACTACCAGCTGTTTTCCAAAGTGGTTGTACCATTTTACACTTCCATCAGCAGTGTATGAGAGTTATAATTGCTCCACAACCTTGTCAATACTTAGTCTGGTCAGTTCTTTTAATTTTAGCCATTCCATAAATGTGTCATGGTATCTCATTGTGGTTTTAATTTGCATTTCCCTACTGATGGATTATGTTGAGCATCTTTTCATGCACTTATTTACATCCAAATGTCTTCTTTGGTAAAGTATCCATTCAAAGTTTGAGAGTTATTTATTTATTATGGATATATATCCTTTATTACATATATATGATTTGCAAATATTTTCTTCCACTCTCTGATTTGCCTTTTCATTCTCTTGAGAATGTCTTTCAAAGAGTAGAAGTTTTTAATTTTGACAAGGTCCAGTATATATCAGTTTGTGATTTATGGATAATGATTTTAGTGTCATATCTAAGAAATCTTTATCTGTCTTCTGAAAAGTTTATAGTTTTTAGGTTTTACATTTAGGTCTATGATCCATTTGAGTTAATTTTTTTTTTCTTTTGGTACGTGCCCCTAGTGGGAGCCGAATCCTGGGCTCCTCGGTCTGCAGGCCAATGCTCCAACCACTGAGCCAAACCAGCCAGAGCTTTTGAGTTAATTTTTTAATCTGGTGTGAAGTATTGATCAGAATTCTTTTTTTTTTTTTGCATGTGGTTGCAACACATTTTGTTGAAAACACTATCTTCACTAAATTGCCTCTGCACCTCTGTTGAAAAGCAGTTGCTCAAATACATGTAGATATATTTTAGGGTTCTATTCTGTCCCATTGATCTGTTTGTCTGTTTCATACCAATACTGCAATATCTTGATTATCATCTAGCTTTTTATAAGTCTTAAAATCAGGAAGTATTAGTCCTCAAACTTTGTTCTTCTTTTTCAAAGTTATTTGGCTGTTCTAGGTCTTTTGAATTTTCAGTGTGAATTTCGGCATCAACTTGTCAGTTTCTACAAAAAGCTATAAGGATTTTTATTGGGATTGTGTTAAATAAACCAATTTGGAGAGTTGACTTATTAACAATATCCAATCTTCTCATCCACAACCACAGTATGTTTCTCCATTTACTTAGGTCTTGTTTAATTTCTTTCATCAGTTTTTGTAGCCTTCAGTGTTACATATCTTTGACACATTTAGCCCTAATGCTTTATAGTTCTTTTGCTATTTTAAATGGTATTTTTAAATTTCGGTTTATGGTTGGTTGTTGCTATATAGAAATACAATAGATTTTTGTGTATCAATCTTGTATTCTGCAACCTTACTAAACTAGTTTATTAGTTTTGATAGTATTTTTATAGATTACATAGGATTTTCTTGAATGTCTGAATATCAGTTTTCAAAATTTTTTTTTCTGGATATAGAATTCTAGACTGACAGTTTTTTGTTTGTTTGTTTGTTTTCCCCCAATGCTTTAATGATCTTGCTTTATTCTCATTTTTCTTGCATTGTTTCCTATGAGAAATCTCTGTCATCCTAATCTTTTTTTCCTGTGTGGGTATTGTATCTTTTTCCCCTCTGGATGCTTTAAAGGTTTTTTTTTTCATTATCACTGGTTTTGAGCAATTTAATTGTGATGTGCCTTACACTAGTTTTCTTTAAGTTCCTTATGCTTAGGGTTCATTGAGTCTTTAGATTTGTAGGTTTATGATATCATCAGTTTGGGAGTTTTTCAGCCATTATTTCTCAAATATTTTTTCTGTTCTCTCCCCTCTCCTTCTGGGACTACAGCAACACATATGTTAAACCACTTGAAGTTGTCCCACAGTTCACTGATGCTATTCTCCTCCTCCTCCTCCTCCTCCTCCCCCTCCTCCTCCTTCCTCTTTCTCCTCCTTTCTTTTTGAGTCTTTTCAAATTACTAATCTTTTTTTCTACAATGTCTAACTTGCCATTAATTCCCACCCAGTGTATTTATTACTTCAGATGCTGTAGTTTTCATCTCTAAAAGTTTCTGTGTCTCTACTTAATATGTTTGATCTTTATTCTACTTTTTTAAAAAATATGGAATATGGTTATCATAACCTTTAAGTTTCTTCTTTGCTAATTCTAACATTTGTGTTGGTTCTGGATTGCTTTTGATTGATTTTCCTCTTCATTTTGGGTTGTATTTTTCTGCTTCTTTTTATGCCTGGTAGTTCTTGATTGGGTGCCAGACATTGTGATTTTTACCTTTTTGGGTACTGGATATTTTTGTATTACTATAAATATTCTGAGCTTTGTTCTGGGATATAGTTACTTAGAAACAGTTTGATCCTTTTGGGTCTTGCTGTTACAATTTGTTAGGCAAGTTTAGCGCTATGTTTAGTTTAGAGTGGATTATGTCCCACTAATGAGGCAAGACCCTTCAGACTACTCAATGCTCCAGTCTGGCTGGTGGGAACAGGCACTATCCCAGGCCCCCTCAAATTCTTGTGGGTAATTCCTCAGCCTGGAGTAGTTTCCTCACATGCACACACCCTGCTGAATATACTCCTGGGGGACCTTCAGTGGATTCGGGAAATCTCCCTTTGTGCAGCTTTCTCCACACCAGTTCTCTGACCTGTGAAGTCTAACTGCCTTAGCCTCCCGAGATTCTCAGCTCTGTCCTCTCAACTAGGAGAGGAGCCTGCCAAGCTCCACCTCAGTGCCCTCTGCTTACTCTGTGGCCTAGAAACTCTCAAGGCAGCATGGTCAGTGTGACTCAGTGGTTGAGCGTTAACCCATATACTAAGTGGTTGCCAGTTTGATTCCCGGTCAGGACACATGCCCAGGTTGTAGGCCAAATCCCCAGTGCGGGGCATGCAGGAGGCAGCCAGTCAATGTTCTCTCTCATCAATGTTTCTATCTCTTGCTCCCTCTCCCTTCCTCTCTCTCTGAAATCAATAAAGAAAAAAAACAAAACAAAAAACTCTCAAGGCAATTACCTGGGGCAATTGTAGGGCTCACTTTCTTTGCTTCCCACCTGTCAAGGATTATTGTCCTTTGTTGCCTGATGTCTAGTCTGTCCCTGTTGGCCAGAGCAGAAGCTGACTGTTTTAAAATTGACTTGTGCACAGAAGAGCAACATAATTATCTTGTTAAGTATCTATCTATGAAGAACCAGAAAGGAATCTGAATAATATATGCCAGCTCTAGCTTTCACATTTAGTTTTTGAAACAGATTTCTTAGTTTCTGCACAAAAGCCAAAGAGCAATTAATATAATTTAATTACTTTGGTCTCAGATTTCACTGAGAGATGAAGAGAAAAACATTCTCCCTGCATGACATGTTTCTGGCTCAAATATGGTATTTTTAAAATTTCCAAAATAATGTTTGACAAGACAAAAAATATCACTTTGGAAAACATAATCTTATTTAAGTCATCATATATAAGCTCTTTTTCTGTCAGGAAAATTATTCTGTATGTAAAGTTATCTTATTTTAAACCTTGAATGCTTCCATTTTGTCGCTTATAGTGGCAAAAGATGGAAAAAACTAAATGTTCTTCTGTGGGAGACTAATTAAATGAATGGTGATCTATTCATACAATATATGTTTAAAAGAATAAACAGCTCTAACATGTACTGATACATAATGGCCTATAAGATATACTGACAAATTGTTATTAGTAGTTGCCCCTGGAGATAAGAATTAAAAATTGGGATGGAAAAAGATTTTCCACTGTATCCTTTTATGCTATTTACTTTTAAAAAGGTGATGTACATGTATTACTTTTAAAATCTGTTTTATAAAAGAAGAAAAAAAAACTATTCTTTAATTGACTTCTCTAATAGGAGTGATCGACACAGGAATTGCCCTATTTGCCGCCTGCAGATGACTGGAGCAAATGAATCTTGGGTGGTGTCAGATGCACCCACTGAAGATGATATGGCTAACTATATTCTCAACATGGCTGATGAGGCGGGCCAGCCCCACAGACCGTGACTGTGGGGCGAAGTGTGTCGTTGCTGTGTGGGCTGTAAATACTGGGTCATGGGGAAGGAATGCAGGGATGTGGTGGCACAGGCGCAGAGAACTCCGTTTTCCCCACTCGTTTCTTTTTGCTTTTCTGACAGTTTGTCCCATTTTTTTTGATAAACTTTTCATGTCTTCCATTTATGGTAAACTAAAATGTGCTACTGTTTTAGACCATATTTTTCTATTATTTATCTGTTCTAATATAGCATATTAAACTAACTGCTCTTGAATCCTTTGCTGAGGTAACAGCAACATTTCCAGAGGCTTCTGAAACACTACTATTTTTCAGGGTAGGAGCATTCTGGAATCTGTCTAGTTAGGTTTAAAATAAACCATGAGCCCTGGCCAGTGTGGCTCAGTGATTAGAGTGTTGTCCCATACACCTAAGGGTCATGGGTTCGATTCCCAGTCAGGGCACATACCCAGGTTGCAGGTTCGATCCCCATTCAGGATGTGTATGGGAGGCAACTGATCAATGTTTCTCTCTCATATTGGTGTTTTTCTCTCTCCCTTTTCCTTCCGCTTTCTCTAGAATCGAAAAGATATATCCTCGATGAGGATTAAAAAATAAATAAACCATGAATGTTAAAAAGTTGTAGCCATCTGAGAGAGAATTTTAAATTACTGAAAAATGAGGCTATGTTGAAGTGCATGTTACTACTTAGTCTTTCTGCTGGAATCTAAGGAGTGTGTATGCCCCCTTGTGGTTAATCATTGCTCCTTTAATAACTATTACTTGAAATGATCCACAATTATTTCATAATTTTAGCTGTGTTTTGAACTACATGTTTTTTACTTAAAAGCGCTTTTTCCTTCTATGCTGTATAATTTGGGTGAAGACTATAGAGTTGGGTGTGACTTTGCCTTATAAATGGACTTCGGCTGGGGAATCTTCTAGGACTGCTTTCCCACAGCTGAGGAACCATTCTAAATAGCTTTTGATAATGCTCATGCATCTTGGAGTTTCAGAAGGAAATTTTTATCACATATCCTAAATTTTATATGTCCAAATTATGAAAAATCATTTAATATTGGTTTATGGTGCTTTTATTTTCTTAACTTGAAAGCATCTTTCTGAAGCCAAGTCCTTAAACTGCTTAGATTAAGAGAGAATAAGTAGCTTTTTAACCATATGTACATAAAACACCTCTGAAAATTAGGAGATAATTTGGGTTTCTTACTGTTTCACTTGACTTCCTTTGAAATACTTTGGAAGAGTATGGTCATAATGGAATTGTAATGTTCAGTGGCACTTCAACCATTTTTTAAAAAATTTTGCTTATAAAGTAAAATTTTTGTTTTATGTTAAATATTATGTCAGCGTATTAAAACTAGGGCCTGATGTCTGCTTTTAACAGAATGTTGCCCTGGCCAGTATGTTCAATGGTTAGAGCATCGGCCCCCCTCACCAAAGATTCGAGGGTTCGATTCCTGGTCAGGAGCAAGTACCTGGGTTGCAGGGCTTTTTGTGTTTTTTTGCGGGGGTTGCAGTTTTGATCCCTGGCCTTGGTTGGGGTGCATGTAGGAGGCAACCAGTTGATGTGTCTCTCTCACATCTATGTTTCTCTCTGTCCCCTGTCCCATATTCCCTTCCACTCTCTCTCAAAATCAATGGAAAAAATATCCTTGGGTGAGGAGTAACAAAAATGAATGAATGTTAACATTCCATGTAAATTTTCTGACTTTTTAGTTACAAATACTCTGTGAAGTACCAGGGTACACAATTTAAGTTGCTACTTATTGATGGCAAAATTTTTGGATACTAGGATTTTAATAGACATGCAAAGTAAATAACTTATTTCTAAGAAAAATGACCAAAGGAGGCTTGATTTTTACCCCCCAAAACACTGATAACTAATTGGTTGACATTCATGACAGGGCATGAAATAGTACCACCAAATAGCTCAACACTCACACACTTTGGATATTTATGCAGAGTACTGAGGACTCTATTCATACCAACCTGGCAATGTACTCTGTGGTTGTGAGAAAGCCCCTTCCTCTGGTTTGTAGGTTCATTCTTTAGAAACTGAGAGTTTATTTGTGGTTTTCACATTTTATTTCAGCAATAGAATCTTTTCTCTTTTTCAGGTAAAATCTTACTCAGAACCCCTATATACATGTGCTACATGTGCACACACGTGCATGCACACACACAGACTCTCACACACACACACACACACACACCTTACACCACTTTCTAATTCATTTATTTATATAAATTTCATATACTATAATATTAAATATTATAAAGCCAACCAGTGAAAACATATATTAACGCATTGGTGATATTCCAGTGTGTTAGAATTTGGTGGGTAACACAGTTGCATGATGGGACTAGTGTTTCGTTGTTGTTGTTGTTGTTTTAATTAAATTCAAGTCAAATTTGCAGAACCCTGACTCTCCTCCATGGATTGTTAGTATTCTATGGAACATATTTTGAAAACCTTGGGATAGGTGATCCCCTGATATCTCAGTCAGCTCTAAGATTTTAAATCCTTTGGATTAGACTTGCTGAGTCCAATTCAGATTGCATCATTTAAGAATGTATCTGAAAATGAACACAGTTGCTTACCAGATTTTTGGGTCTTTCCCAGATAGTCAATGATTTTATCCCTCAGAATTTTTCACTTTTCAGGGGATTATTTGACAGTGAGCACAGTAACTTGATATTGCCCAGACCTTTTTACTTTTCAGTATGAGCTCCAAGATACTAACTGATCTACTGTGAAATGTAAAATGTATTTATTAGCCTTATCTAATAAGTGAGCACAGGTTTTTGCTCACTCCATTAAACTGGGTGATAATTCTTTAGATGTGAATATTAGGTATGTTATAATAACTATCTATAAAAAGTTGTAAATTTGTTTATGGATGAAATGTACACTTTTTGTATTCTGTACAGCTTTGTCTGTTTTAATTATGAAGCACTTAAATGCACTTACTATGATAGGAAGTATAGTGTGTGCCTTCTAGTATTTGTGAAATGGTGGTGGTTTTTTTTCACATTTATTTTATGTTATAAAGTTTTCCCTATCCTAACTCAATAACAAAGGGTTTACTCATATTACTTAAACTTTAGTTTAAGAAAATGAATTTGACTATGTATTGAATTTAGAAGTGGAGAATAATAGTATCTGTTTTATTCTTAGGATAAACTGATATATTGTACAATAAGTAATCTTTAACAAGTAAATTTTAGTTAATTGAAGAGATTTTTTCTTATCATGTAGCTTCACATTCTTATATACTAAATGTTTATATTTCACAGAGGACTACTTTGTATTATGCTCTGGGGGGTTGTGATGTTTGTGTACTATGTTTTAAAATTCATTTCAAATTGGACTCGGTTTTCTTATACCTAATATATATCTGAGTAATAAGGCTTCTTGAGAGTATCTTTTGGTTTGATGACTTTTAACATTGGGAAGTTGGATTTATTAAAAGGTGGTCTAAAGAATTGGCATTTTTAACTGGTTTCTTCTTCATTAAGTCAAGCTTACCTAATCTATCCAGGAATAAGGAAACTACTTGGAGGTTAGGGAAATCAGCTGATCACCCACATTTGTGCTGGACAACAAAATGACAATACAAAGAAACAGTTTACAACAGACAGTCATTTGTTTTTTATCTTTTTAGCCTATTGGACAGTAAAAACAATTGATAAAATATTCCATCCTATGACAGTTTTGATGTTTACCTGGTAAAATCACTTCTAAGATCAAATTAATGTAATTAGAGAAGCATATTAGAATCTTAGTGCTGAGAAGAGGAAAGCCATTTATAAGAAGAAATGGTAGTTTATAATTAAATTTACTGATATATATTGTCATGGAGAAGAACACATTTTGGTCTCAGAAGACATAAATGCCTCCTCAGATATGTTTTGATAATCTTGCAGCTATGTATAGTTTTACTCTCTGGCATGCCCTATCTTTTTAATAAAATATTTATTTAGAGGTTGAGGGTATAAAAATGCCCAAGGAACTATATTTGTCTGATTAGTGTTTTATTATAGTTAGTTACACTTGTTTATAATGTAGTCATTGTTCAGGTATAGAATACTTAGGATTATTACCAACATAGCACCCTCAGCTGTGTCTACAAATCCAGGAAAAGATGAATATTGTTTCACCTACACAGCACTCAGAAACAAGGAAAGAAAGCCAGAGGGATGGTTTGCAATTCTGCTTTAATCCAGGCTCTGAGGAAGTAAAGGCCCAGGACAGGCCTTGGCAAATACCAACCCAGGAGCTGTGATTTGTTTTCATGAGTCAAAAAGCAACGACATTGATCATTTCAGCAATGCAGTTTGAAGTAACACGTAACATGAAGTTGAGCCTTTTAGAGTAAGGGATAGCACACTTCAAAAACTGTTCTTTTAGAAACATGGGCTGGTATACAGTTACCTTTCATTCCAACTGTGAACATGAAAGAAAGTAGGATCCCGCCACACACACACACACACACACACACACACAAAAGGCCAGTTGGGTACAATGATGTGGCGGAACAGATAACAGTAATATCCAGGGGAAAAGCAATGAACGGATGTGGCTAAAGCTAGAGAAGAAGATAGCAAAGGTTTACCTTCTGGGTCTTACCTAGTGAGCTTCAGTTTGAAATTTAGTTTTCCTAGTGAATGTCATCCATATCTGAGTCTTTGTTAAAAATAAATTAGTAGTTATTGATAACTTTTCCTGATTCCCAGTCTTTTCTTAAACATTTGCTTTAAATGTTATTAACTTGAAATAGTTTTAAATTATTGAGCCATAGTAATGACAGACTTTGTTTAATAATTAAAAACAGATGCTTGATACAGATAAAATGACAATGAAAACCTGTACAATGCTTGCAATGTTAGGGCAAATGTATACAAATGGGGTTTTTCAAAAATAATAAATGCCTAAGATAATACTAAGTTTTCATTCAATTTCTTGATTAGCTGTAAGATAGCACATGTGTTTGCCTGGTAAAAAAAACAAACAAAACCCACTACATTTATTGTTCCATATGCTAAGTTGACCAGTGGAGGGGACAAGCATGATAAAATAAAATCACAGGACAAGAAAATCTGAAGTCAGATAAGAATTTTTACACGTAAAAATAAGGTTCGTCCAACCTCATAATGATTCAGAAGGACTTCACATATTCTGCACTTGCCCACAGAAATAGACAATGTCCTTGAGCAGCTTGTGTAATAGGGGCACATATCCTTTAAAAGTTGCCAAAACAGAAATTCACTTATTCAACATACATTTATTGAGCACTTACTATGTAGCAGGCACTGGTAACACAGATGAAGAATACATTAGTAGAGCTTAAATTCAGACCAGTCTTAAAAAAATACTTTCTATCCTGGCCCCTGGGACCACTTATATCTTCTGGAAAATCTGCGTATTAGGTAAGGGAGAAATGTTGCCTTTAAAAAGAAACACACCAGGTTACAGTGATAAAAGGCATAACTGGAACAGTGGAGGCCTCCTGGAACAGTGGAGAAAGGACTGGAGTAGAAAAATCTAGTTCTAGTCCTATTACTTCCTAGCTGTGTGACCTTAAGCAAGCCTCACTTCTCTGTCCCTAATTCTTTATAAGTAAAATGATAATTGGGCTATAATCATAGAATATGACAGCCAAAAGAACAGAGATCATCTAGTCTGGTGCTTTGCAGAGTCCTTAGTTCAAATGAAAATATGTAGTCCTAATGAAGAAGCAAAGGCAGCACCCAGAACCTCATTCCCCCAGCCCTCTCCCACCCTGAAACTGGGAGGGGGGTTCAAGAACACCATTTGAAAACCTCTCATCTAGTCTAAACCCTCACTTTTCAGATGAAACCAAGACACAGAATAGGAGTGACTGTTTCATGTGCACATTTGGCTCCCTAAGTAGAAAGGAGGGTGGAGGGCTAAGTAAAACAGTTTAAGAAATTCATTAAAAATGCAAAGAAGGAAGTTGCCTATTTTAATTCTCTCAAAGTAGCTCCTTTATGAAAGGGAGCTTTGAAATTGATTTTGTTTTAAGGCAGCCAGCCAGCCAGAGGCTGAAATGAACAACTACCAGCTAGCCTGCAGGGCCTACAGCGGACTAGGGCAGAAAACCACGGAGACCCCATGTCAGTAGGCACTTGGACCATGGAAGATCCTGGCCCCAACAATGAAAGCACTAGCGGTTTCAAGAGAAATATTTGGAAAATTAGGAATGAGTATAGACAAATGTCCAGCTCCCAGATCCCCAAGGAGCGGTCAACATCTATTACTCAGAAACACTAACAGAAGTAGGCATGTTAGATCTTAAAGTGAACAGTGCAACCAAAATCGCTAGGCTTGAAAGTTCTTCAGAGGCATCCTCTCCCTGGAGGAAAGTCCTAGTGGGGGATCTTGACCACTGTTAATCACAGCCGACTTGAAACTACCAGGAAGTTACAGTGCATGTCCAGGGCTAGACCTACTTGGTCAGGGCTGTGATCTGTTCTGATTTCATGGCGTCAGACAGGAAACTGAGCTCGTTGCATAATGTCTCATATCGGAACGCCATCCGAATCTGAGCAACATTTGTCTTTCGAATATCATTGCCTTCAGGTCCTTCTTTGTAATAATTTTGACCCAGAAACTTCTGCTTTTCCTGTGGATCAAGAGAAACACAAATCGAACAATATACCTTATATTCCCTCTCTACATCACACTGCGGCTCTGGTATTCGGCCACACCAAATCAGACGTGCCCCTGAAGAAGGTCCTCCCTCAGGACCTCCCGGGGCAGTTATGGAATTCCTCCTGGCCTCCATGTCCTCAAGGATGTCACCCTGACAGCCACATTCATTCCCTTCATTTCTGACTATACCTTCCTTGAACAGAAAGGAAAGATTACTGCTGGTGAGGAAAAGGCAAGGTGAAGACTCTCAGAAGTCCCTCCTGAGCTTACAAGGGCAGACTGTTTGGATTTGGGGGTGGGGGGGGGGAGAGGGGCGGGTAGTCCAAGGAACCAAGTGCACAACAGAATCTGCAGCCTTGAACTCCTCTCTGCATCAGCATCAATACGGGCAGCACTGAGGCAGCCCTCTTCCTGTACCAGCGGCATCACCCAGAGGAGGTACCCGGGGACCCATGACATCATCTAGCGCAGTGGTTCTCAACCCTGCACATCAGAACCACCTAGGAGCCTGTAAAAAGAAAATTACTGATGTCCAGTTCCCATTCCTACAGTTTTTTTATTCAATTTAGGTACTATTCATCTATTCAAGAAATACTGAGTGCCCAGGATGTGCCAGGGGCTATCCTAGGCCCTAGGGATATAATGTTGAACAAAACAGTCTCTGCCCTCATGGAGCTTACTTTCTACAAGGAAAGACAGAAAAACACATGACTGCACATTACAGGATCAGTGATAATATTATGAAGAAAAGTAGACTAAAGGGGTGGAGAACGGTGGCAACCGTGTCTGTTGAAGAATGGGTGATGCGGGAAGGCTCTGGGGAGAGGACGTTTGAGTAGAGGTCCTGAAAGAGTGACAGCAGCCAGGAACGTTCAGAAGTCTCCTGCCCAGGATTTGGCCCTGGAGCATGAGCTTCAGTGTGACAGAGGCCCTGCTTGTGCCCTCTGTCGCTGATCCCCGAGCCTGGACAGTACCGGGTCAGCAGGCACTCCTTGTGCGCGTGCTGAACGGCCAGGAGGGACGGGACCGCCACACGGCGTACCTGGTGCGAGAGGCCGCTCTGCAGCACGCTGTTCCGGGCAATCTCACACAGGTCGCACGTGCTCAGCTTCCACACCTGAGCTGCGATCGCGTACTCTTCCATCAGTGCTTCCTAGATCCCCAAAAGGACGCGTATTAGACGGCAGAAGATGCATGCCCGTGCTGCCCAGACCTCCAAAGCCAGAAACATCGCACGTTGCAGATTTAATTTTTCTTTAATGACTGGCACCTGGATAATCAAACAATATCCTCCCCCTTCAATGACAAATTCCTAAGACCGTTTTTGTGTGAAATCTCAGCTCACCAAGGAGAGCCATGTCAAAGAGCACCTACGTATGTATGTGTTAGCCAGCACATGCTGGAAACCCTGTCCTTGTCATGGGGACAGCAGCCTGCTCTCCTGTGACAGCCTTGGTCAAGCATACCTTTAGGACCTGCTCTATAGCTTTGTTATTTAACAAACCCTTTTCTTAAGATTGTCCAAAAATCAGAGTCAATCTGAGTAAAGTACTAAGAGCAGAGATGGAACCTTAAGAATGAGAAATGAGCCCTGGCCGGTTTGGCTCAGCGGTTAGAGCGTCGGCCTGCGGTCCGGAGAGACCCGGGTTCGGTTCCCACTAAGGGCACGTGCCTCGGTTGCAGTTTGTCCCCGGCCCTGGTTGGTCGTGTGGGTAGCAGCCACTCGATGTGTCCCTTCACGTCGATGTTTCTCTCTCTCTCTCCCTCCCACTCTATCTGTACAAAAAATGGAAAAATATCCTCGGGTGAGGATAAAAAAAAAAAAAGAAGAATGAGAAATGATCGGTATCAATGGTGAGACAGTGTTACCCCAAAGGGTTTGGTGTGGGGCTGTGCTTTCACAAGATCCGGGATGGGAAATCACGGGTCCTTCCATTACCACTGCCTCTGCATCCTAGAGCAGTGGTTCTTAAACACCCAGGATCCCTGGGGTCCCCAAGGCCTTTTCAAGGGGCCTCCCTTGCCAACTACATATCTTTGTGAGACAAGGTTTTCTTCACATACTTTGATCAAAACAATTCATCACAACAGATTGAATGCATACATGAGAATCCAGCTGTCTTATATCACTGGACATTAAAGAGATTTGCAAAAATGTAAAACATTGGCATTCTCGGCATTTTTTGTTTGATTTAGGAAATAGGGTTTATTTTTCATAAAAATTGCTATTTATGTTAACATTTAATAGTTTTATTAATGTTATTTTTTAATGCGCTAATATTTTTAGCCCAGCCGGTGTGGCTCAGTGGTTGAACATCGACCCGTGCACCAAGAGGTGGCTGGTTTGATTCCCGGTCAGGGCACATGCCCAGGCTGTGGACCCGATCCCCAGTGGAGAGCACGCAGGAGGCAGCCAGTCGATGTTCTCTCTCATCAATGTTTCTATCTCTCCTCCCTCTCCCTTTCTCTCTCTCTAAAATTAATAAAGAAAAAAAAAGTTTAATAAAATAAAAATGAGTTAATATTTTTCAGTTTCCCATTAGTTTCTGACACAGTTCAGTATTACTAGATATAACTCATGCTCTCTGAGGGCCTCAATTCTTGAGCATATAAAAGGGTCCTGAGACCAAAGCTTGGAGAATCTGTCCTAGAAGACACTGTTTTTACTAAATCAGTGGCTGTCTTATCAATACCATCCAAACGTACTTGGCGTGCTAATGGCTGGTCCCCATGCATGACATGGCTTTCCCTTTTCTCTTTCCCCAGAGGTCTAAAGTGTAACAATAATAGTATTAATAAAAATGGTAGCCGACATTTTGAATACAGGCCATACGCGACACTATATTAGACTCTTGGTTCATCATCTTAGTGAAGCCTCACAATGCAGTAGAGGCTTGCACATGTAGAGGCCGTTTTCTTCCTGTTTTACACATGAAAAGGAATACGATACAGAGACATCAAGTAACTTTACCCACGTCACAGAGCTAATAAATACAAAGAAAGGGAAAATAGAGAAAGGCAAGGAAATGAAACGGTGCCTTTAAACTTTCAAAGACCCCCTGCCCTGGCCAGTTTTGCTCAGCGGTTACAGCATTAGCTCAGCAACCAAAGGGTCTCAGGTTCAATTTCTGGTCAAGGGCATATACCTGGGTTGCAGGTTTGATCCCCAGCCCCTGGTTGGGGTCGTGCCGGAGGCAACCAATTGATCTGTTTCTCTCACATTGATGTTTCTTTCTTTCTCTCTCTCTCTCTCTCCTCTCTCTCTCTCTCTCTCTCTCTCTCTCCCCCTCCCTCCCTCCCTCTTCCTCCTTCCCTCCCTCCCTTCCATTCTATCTAAAAATTGGTTTGGCTCAGCGGTTAGAGCATCGGCCTGCGGTCCAGAGAGACCTGGGTTCGGTTCCCACTAAGGGCACATACCTCGATTGCAGTTTGTCCCCGGCCCTGGTTGGGTTGTGCGGGTGGCAGCCACTCAGTGTGTCCCTTTCACATCGATGTTTCTCTTTCTCTCTTCCTCTCTCTCCCTCCCACTCTATCTGAACAAAAAACGGGAAAATGTCCTCAGGTGAGGATAAAAAATATAAATAAAAATCAATGGAAAAATATCCTCAGATAAGGATTAACAAAAAAAAATTTTTTTTTCAAAGACCCCAAAAGAGGGGTCCTAGAAGGAGCACTTCCCTTATGAGGAGCTTACCTGCTGTCTTCACTGGGCCCCCAGCCCACCTGTGTGCCAGGTGCCAGGACCGGTGCCTGCTGGGCACCGAAGTCCTCACCTCCCCCTGAAGCCTCACCTTCGTGTAGTGGAACTGCATGGGGTCATCGGTGGAGAGGGAAACATGCAGTCCCTTGTGCAGGAATTCCCTCAGAGGGTTTTTGGAATATTCGAGGAACAGACTGTTGTTGCTAAGAGGAGACATGGCAATGGGGATCTGAGCCAGGTAGTAGAGATACTGCAACACCGGACTCTGCAAAAGAACCACCAAACTCAGGTAACAAGGGCCAGAGAGAGGGAAGAGGGGAGGGGAGAGGGTGGACAGGGAGGAAGGGAGGGGAGAAGCATCATCAGTGGGAGCCAGGGGTCTGGGCAGTGTCTGCAAGTCCCCAAAGCCAGGACACCCCATCTCCTACCTTCCCCTGACCTCTCTGTTCACCTCGGCGGACATCACGTGTCCCTCTCCCTGGAACTGCCCTGCCCAGTGTTGGAAGTGCTCCCTCTTGCCTCCAAAGTGGAGGCACAGCTCAGGGCAGGACGGGCAGCCGCACACCCCAGCTGACCCCAACCTACATGCTCAGCTCCCCTCCCCAGGCACTGGCCCCAGCTGGTCAGTCCAGAAGATGCCCCCACTTGATGGTTTTGCTGCTTTGACTGCAAACATTCAGGTTGAGGCTATAAACACTCCAGCTCTTCGGAGGTGGGTAGGGGCAGACCTGACTGGGCTAGGGTGGTTTTCTGATGTAGCACCTGCCCCACATGAAAATGTGACAGGTGGTTAGACCTCCCCAGGGCCGGAGCAGTTTGAGCAAACATTGTCCCTATGGGAGTGCTCCAAGCGATGGAATAGACCAAATGCAGAGTTCATGGGAGCACGAATTACATCAGCAAAAAGGCGGACTCTGTCCAACAGCTAGAGATTGGCTGAATCAGTTATGGCCCATCCGGATGGCAGGCCATCCTTCCGACAGCCTTTGGAAACAGGGGCGAACCTATTATGTTGCAGCTCAGAAACATGCTTGTTAAACAGAGTTAAGGGATAAAGAAGGAGCCAACAGTCTGTGTTCACCATTATAATAAGCATTTAAAAATATGCTCTGGCAAAAAAAACAACATGAATTGAAGAAACTAAAAAGCTGTAAATGGCTGTTTCTATTAAAGCAATAGCAATATGGTTTTTAATCCATTTCTCCATGTTTTGGAAATCTAAATCATGTTATAATATTACTTTCATAATTAAATACGAAACCAAGAGGACTACAGACAGCCCAGCCCAGAGAAAGTCCTGGACCTTTCAGCAGCGCTGGCCAGAGGCTCCGGGGGCCGGCAGGAGCCCGGGGAGCCCAGGGGAGCCCGCCGCCGAGGGACAGTCTGTGGATGGCTGCGTTACCTTCTTGAGGAGCAGCCCGTGGGAAATGTTGTCAGCAGTCAGGAAAGCAGACACCAGGTGGGTGATGGACCCCGCCTCCCCACAGTGAGGCCGGAAGAGGAAGGTGCTCAGACCTCGTTCCCTGCAGAACAAGTCAGGCGGGCTCTTGGTCAGCAAGGACCCCTGGTCCACCCTGCCCAGGACCCCCCAGGCTGGGACCTGCACCCCTAGCCCAGGGCCACTCCAGGGGAGACCGGCACCATGGCAGGGGAGCACAGGTACCTGGAACTGCCCCTCCTAAAGTGCAGGGGCCAGGCCAAGAGATGCCCTCCCTGGGGAACAGGGGCCTGCGGGAGAAAGAGACCCTGCCCTGTCCTTCATCCCCTCCTCCCCTCCCCCTCTTCACCAGGCCTGTAGCCCAATTCATAGACCTTCAAAGCAGGAAAAGCCGTAAGAAATCACTGAGTCCGACTTCTCTGTTACACAAACAGACAGACCCAGAGAACCCAGAGGGTGGAGTGAGACATTAGAACCCACTGAGCAGGTCAGCGGCAGAGCTAGAACTAGAGCCCCATGGCCGAAAGCTCAGCCCAGACTGCCCCACCCAACCCCAGGCCCTGTCCTTTTGAGTCCCATTCACAACCTCCACCCCCACGGACTAGCTCTGACTTAGGCTGAGCCAGTGAAGCCCCAGGCCCAGCGGGCAGGAGGGATGCTAGACTTGCAGAGAGGGGCACGGATGGCTCAGCGTCCTGTGCGCCGGGCACTGGACTCCTGCCGTATGTGCCTCCTTGTGTGTGTGCACTGCTGGAAGTCTGTGCGTGACCCATGCTCCATGAGAGCATGGACTGAGTCTGCTTCGTTCCCAGTGACATGTCCCGTGCCTAAGACAGTGCCCGTCACATAGCAGGTGCAAGAGTTTGATGCATGAATAATCACATGTGTGAACACTTGGTGGTAAGTGAACATGCATGTGCATTGGCACATCCTATGCATTATGTCAGAGGTGGCCAGGTGCATGTGTAGGAGTCAGTGCGGGTGTGTGTGAACATGTGTGTACAGCATGGGGTTTGGCTTCGTGGCATGTGTGGTTGATTGTGTCTGTTGCAGTGGGCGTGACTGCGAGTGTATGTGGCCCTGTGTAGGAGGCTAGGGCATGTCCCTGGGTTTGCAGTGCAGGCCCGTGGCCACCTGAGCAGAGCCGGCTCGCCCACCTGCGGAGGTTGTTGAGCACCATGATGTTGGCATACATGTAGTACAGGTAGTAGCTGTAGGGCGGGTTCTGCTCACTGGTCCAGATGTCTGGGCTGGGGCTCTTGTCTGAGAACATGTGGTCGCTGTGCTTGGACTCATCATCCACGCTGTCGAAACCTGTCACCTGGGCAGCACAAGGGTCCTGCATCAAGCCAAGGCAGAGGAGCGCCAGGGGCCTTGGAGGCACAGTGCTCCCAGGGGTGGGGAGTGGGCAGTGCCACCATCTCTCCTCCAGGCTTCCAGAGGTGCCAGGAGGCCAGGCGAGCGTGCTAAGCCCCTGTGGTGGTGGCGATGGCGAGGGGACTCGGGCCAGTGAACAGTGAGGCGGCCATCCTCACTGCCCACTCCTCTGCTGTGCCAGGGACAACAGCTCTGAGGGCGGGGACAGGCATGTCCCACACACCTACTCTACGTCAGGCCCTGCTTGCCGTACTCACCACACATGCACTGATTTACTGCCCAGCGGCCCGTGAGGGAGGGCTTGGCCGTCAGAAACCAGCCCACTTGGGCCCACCAGGCTCTGAGCACGAACGGGCTCAGCATCTGGACTTCGGGCTGTAGGTGGAGAATACCCAAGGGCATGTCCCGGTGTGGTCACGAAAAACCAGCCGGCTGCTTCCCAAACAGGCCCAGCTGGGCCCCATCCAACACAGCCCTTGGAAGGCTGAGCCGTGGTTCTGGGAGGAGGTGGCTCTACCCCCTGAGCCAGGATGGAGAAGCTCAGGAGATCCAGTTACACCTCAGCTGGGGCCCCAGCTATGCCCCTGGGGGCCCCTCCCAAGTCACAGGCTTCCTAGTCACCTGACCCCAGAGGTCAGGCCCTATAAAAACACAGCCCCTTGGCCAGCAGGTGGGGCAGATTTGCTCTCCTGTGGCCCTTCCTTCACTCAGCTACAGCAGTGCTCTGGGAAGGGCCTGGAAATCTGCCGCTGGGCCTGCTAGCCTCTCCCAAAGGAGCAGGGACCACGGAGATACTGGCAGAATCTTCCCTGTCACAGAGCTGTATCTGCCCAAGGAGCGACAGGGTCCCCACTGTCACTCGCGGCACAGCCTGGGTGGGCGTGGGGGCCAGGGACAACCTCGAGCTCTGCTCTGTGCTCATAGCTCCAGGCTTCGCTGGAACTCAGGGCTGGCAGCCCCGCCACTGTGGCAACCGAGGCGGGCCCTGAACTGAACCCCCCGCAGGTCTCCTCCTCCTTCCGCTCCTCCTCCACAAGCCTGCTCTTCCCCCACTGTCCACAGTGGCCTCTTAAAGGTGCACTGTCCACCTCCAGACACCAGGCACCAGGAGGGCCCTGGACTCCTCCCTCTAGCTCACCTGCAGGCTCTGCCAGGTCCTGTCGACCTGCACCTGCCCCGCACACGCGCGCTTTCCCTCTCGGGAGGCAGAGCGGTCCGGGGCTAACGACACCTGCTCGGGCACCTGGATATGAATTCCAGTTCTGCCACTTCTTAGTTATCTCCTCGTGTACACATTGGAACCAGTAGCTCCGCAGGGCTGGTGTGAGGACAAAATGGAGCGCACCCAGCACAGGGTCTAACCCACAGCAAGCACAGAATGCTGCTCATTATTAACACCAACCACGGGTCAGGTGGGCCAATCATGAGGGTGAAGCATGGCCATGGCATGGAGGGGACCACCTCCAGCCACCTCTGTTCCAGCCACTCGGCACACAGCAGCCAGGACGGTGTCTGTTGAAACACAGTGTCAGCGCTGTCCCGCAGCTTGTTCTAACCCTTTCCTGGTAGCCCCCCATCCCTGACACACATTCACAACCTCAATCACCCCTACCCCATGACCCCAGCTTCCTGGAATCTTCCCTGCCTCCCTCCTTGTCAGAAATCATCCACATACCCTCCACCAGGTACGGGACTGACTGCTCACTGCCTCCAGCGACCCCAGGGCCAGGCACAGAGCCTGCGGCCAGCTGCGACCATGCCCTGCCTGGCGAGGTCTCTCCCACCTCGCTTCTCTCCCTCCCCGTAACTAACCAGGCACGGAAGATAAATATATTCGGTGGGGCTTGTGTACTTAAGGTGTGAGGACCATCTTTCTGGGTAGACGCAGAAGAACTGCAGTGTCTGCATTTCTAAAGAAGCCGGAGGTTGCAGGGGCGGGACCCAGTCTTTCCAGCCCCACCTGGCCAGGCACTGACTCCTCAGTCCTTCCCTGCTGCTGCCCCCACCCCCCGCTCCCCACCCCAGCTGCCTGCCCCCGCCCCCCACCCCAGCCCCAAGGCTGCCCCTGAGGACGGTGTTATTTTAGAAACTGAGCGTCTTGGGGTGGCAACTCTGCCTGCAGAGACAGATCTGAGGAGAGAGCCTGACCGGCCCCCGGGAGTCCCCTCCTCTCCACCCACACTTACATATTTGAGGAAGAGGTGAAGCTCCCGGTGGTCTTGGGGGTTGATTGTGGCCTCGAAGAGGGGCAGGAAGATGTTCTCCAGCATCTTCCCAAAGTTTGGCAGCAGCTTCTTTGACCGAAATATGTCACTGGGGAAGGCGAAGACGGTGATTAAGGTGGACCCAACAGCTCTTTGGCCTGAGATTGGCCTCAGTCACCCTCAGGCAGCTCGGGTCCCATCGAAACACCCAGAGTAGAGCCAGAGACGTGGCTTGGACCCTCCTCTAACTCCCAGCAGCGTCGGCACTATGGGCATCACTGGCGAACTCAGCACCTACCCAGGCCCCTCAGACAGCCTTCTCAAGCAGAGGCTGCACCGGGAGAAGGTGGAGGCACCCAGGCTGACCATGGGGGTGAGTCCTATTCCCAGTGACCCACACTCTCTGCCACAGGCCCCAGGCTGTCCAGGAGCCGGGAACCCCCCACATCAGCCAGACAACCGGAGGGGACAGTGATGGTCCCTGAGTCCAGTCCAGGAGAAGGCCAGCAATGGAGGCCACCACCAGGTCACTCACACCCTCATGCTCACCAAGGACATCCGCAGCCTGCAGTGAGACGGCCGCAGTCCCCACAGGCATGTGCACACACATGTTCTTTAAGGAGTAAGTCTGTCACAAAGGCATATCTGCCAACCACCCCTTCCTACAGGAAACCCCTGGGGAGAAGAGGCCTAGTTGGCCTGGAACAGGCCCCACCTCCAGTAGTGCGGACTCAGTGGCCCACAGAGCGCAGGCTGGGGTCCCAGGGGCACAGCAGACAGCGGGCTGCCTCACTTACTAGATCCGGGGCACCTGGATGATCCAGCGCATGTTGGGAGAGTAGACCTTGTGCTGGATGAACCAGTGGGCCAGGCTGAGCCACTCATCAGGACTGCGGCCGTAGATGGAGAGCCGCGGCTCCGAGTACTGGTACTTGCTCTCCTCCAGCTCCCGGGCCACCTCCTGGCACCAAGAAGAGCTCAGGTCAGGCCAAGGGCACCCCAGCTGCCGGATCCTGCAGCTCCCTCAGCCACCTGCTCCCAGGCTGGGCAGGCCTCCTCTACATCACCTTGCTGCCGAGTAAGTACTCACTCGCCTCAGCAGAGGCTCCTTCCTGGAGAGAAAGGCCTTGGGTCTGCACCATCACACGCATGACCAGGCCAGGCAGCAGACACGGCTCCACATAGAGCTAAGCTGCTCCCAGCCAAGTTCAGGCTGCAAACAGACAGGGCAGCGAGGCTGGGCGCTGTGAGTGCTCCGAGGTGGACCCCTCCCCCTCCTCTCGCCTGCCGTCACTCTGGACACACGCAGCACCAGCCTGCCCATGCCCGGGAGTGGGGCCGGGGCCAGGCACGGGCACCTGAGCACCTCAGCCTCACTGGAGCTGGGTGGTGGACGGACAGGGATTCGGGAAGGAGAAGACTAGGAGGCCAAGCACACTTCTGACGGCAGAGGCTGCCAGGTGTCTGCGGAGGGCTCACTCACCTTGACCATCCGAGCAAAGTACTCCCCTCCCAGGTAGTTCTCCGTTTTCAGATACAGGTCACGCAGCTCGCTGGCCCCCACAGGATTGTATTTAGAGTTGAACTTGTCAAAGCGGTGGAACGTCTGGCGGCCCTGGAGAGAGGGGACCCCAGCCAGGTCACGGCACCGTTCTGCAGTGCCCTCCCAGGCCTCTCGGAGGGGCTCTCCCACAGGGCCACCCTGGAAGAGGTCTTCTCGGTCAGTTCTTGTGTAAAGTCTTGGACTGTCACTCGGGCAGCCTGGGGGTCCCTTTGTGAGGCCCCCGTGAAGGAGGACCGGGGGCCTGGTGCTCTGAGCTGCTGTGGCTAAAGGCAGGCTGGCTGAGTGAACAGAGAATGCTCAACTAGGGAACAATCCACTAAGTGTGTCCTAATGAGACTGCTGTAATTAACCTAGTTATTATAACAGGAAAGGAGCACAGGGAAGGACAAATGTTCCGGGCATGTCATGTGGGCAGTTTTGCCAGGAAGTTGCAGTTTTACCGCCCAGGGAGCCACCGGGTTATTCTGGGCAGGTCACTGGGGGAAGGGGCTGGACAGGGAGAGGTGGACACATGTCCAGTAAAGCTGGGGCACGTTGGGAAGGTGCTTGCCTGTCAGTTACACCTGGGAGCAGGTCATTGGCAAGAATGGGCATGGCCACTGCAAGGGCGTGAAATCTGGGATATTTGCTCCCCCGAACAAAGAAGTTCGCTCCTCCTGGCCTGTTGTGCTTAACTCCTGGTTTGCAGGGTGCTCTCGCCTCCTGCTTCCTGGCATTCACCCGCATGGCCCACGGCCACGTGGACCCCCACATGATGGACTAATGGACTGTGACTAGTCTGATGCTAGACTGGACCCAGTTCCAACATGGAAACTCCAGACACGGGCTTTGCTTCTGGCTCTACTGAAATCCCAGCACACTTCTTCTGTGGCTGGAATGGACTTTGGAAACCCAGGGATGTAAGTCCACACAAGTAAAAACATTCATCCTCCCTTTGAGTCTCAGGGAATTCTTTTTCTCTAGATATAGTAAGGACCCCACCCCCAGCACCCCGTGAGGAAGAGGACACCCCAATTTCACCAATAACACTGTTACTGCTTAGACTTCATAAGGCACTTTGTCCACCTCATCTCATTCAGTAGTTTGTTTGTTAATTCAACAAATTTTTTTTTTTTTATCGTGGTAAAATAGACATAATACAAAATTTACCATCAAAATTGTTTTAAGTGTACTGTTGAGTGGTATTAAATACATTCATATTGTTGCACAACCATCGCCACCATCTATCCCCAGAACTCTTTTCATCTTGTAAAACTGAAATTCCACTCCCTAGTAACCGCTCTTCTTTCCACCTTGATGGAGTGGCCTGGGCTAGGGACTTCATAACGTGGGATCATACACCATTTGTCCTTCTGCATATGGCTTTTTTGACTTAGCATAATGTTTTCAAGGGTCATTCATATTGTGGCAGATGTCAGTACTTTATTTCTCTTTAAGGCTAAAAAAGATTCCATGGTGTGGATATACCACGTTTTGTTTTGTCGCTCATCTATTGATAGATGGCTGGGTTGCTCCCCCTTGGGCCCGGGGAAGAATGCTGCTGTAAGCACTGATGTACAAGTGTCCGGTTTAGTCTCTGCCTTCAGTGCCACAGACCTCAGAGCGGAATTGCTGGGTGATAAGGTAAATCTTTAACTCTTTGAGGAAACTCCCTGCTGTTTGCTAGAGTAGCTGCACCATCATTTAGTATCTCAGTAACTTCTCAATGTCAATAGGCACTGGCAGTCACCATTTACAGGCAAGGCAATAAAAACCTAAGAGAGCTGCTTAGGGGCACACAACTCCTAAATGACAGAAGTGGAATTAGAACTGGACCCTGCTCTACTCCAAGTCACATATTCTTGTCCCCTGTCCCAGGGCTGCTTCCAACCCTGTTACTCTGAGGCCAAATGATCTCTCATAGTCTCCATGGCTAGAAGAGAAAGAGCTGCTTTTACATTTAGCCTCTCTCCAAGCACAGCCATGGCTTCTTTTCAGGAGGCTGAGTCCCCAGCCAGGACTGCCTGAGGCATCGGGGAGGACGCCCACTCACCGCGTGGACGTCCAGCGAATCCACAGTGAGGTCGTAAGGGTCCATGTGCAGGCTGTCGAACACCTGCCGCAGGGTGACCTTCTGGCCCTGCTTCTCGGTCACGATTCTGTCAGGCTCCGTCTGGTACGTGTGCTTGATGAAGCGCAGCAAGTGCTTCTGATTCATGCAGGCAGCCGCGTGGATGTGCGTGTCCACCTGCAGCACAGCGCCCACCAGTGAGTCAGGCCCCCTCCTGCGGCAGCAAGAATCAGGGCGCCCACCCCTCCGTGTGCAGTGCAGAGCCTCGGCACCTTTTGGACCGTGGAGGCCTGGATGCCCCTCCCCATTTCTTCTCTAGACTTTGGAACTGGTCTCCCTCCCTCTGCTCTTGCTGCCCGATCCACCTCCTTCCAGCATCAGGAGATCTTTTTAAATTGTATATTGGATCTGACCACTCCTGTTAACAAAACATCGGTGCACCTTATGTCTTCAAGATTAAGCTCTAGCTCCTTAGCCTGGGATTCCAGGCTCACTGCAGGCCTTAACTCTCACCCACCGTGGTCCTGCGGTACGCTCCAGCCACACCACGCCATTTGCAGGGGCCTGGGGCACCATGGTGTCCCACACCACGTGCCTGTCCTCAGCCCGGCCTCCCTTCCTCTTTCTTAATCCACCTGGAAACTTCCTACAACTTCCTCCCCTTGGAAGCCAGTCCTGACCTGCAAGCAGAGCTGATGAGTCTCCCTGACCCCACCTGGGAACCTGCACAGACACTCCCTGTACATGTCCCTGATCCGCTCTAGCGTTTTCCTGTCTACTCTTCACTAGACCGGGAACTCCTCAAGGACAGGGACCATGCATGGACGTCTCCAGCACCTTCCCCAGAGCCTGGTGCAATGTATTAGTGAACTCAATGGATGGATGGATAAAAAAAATGAACAGGTATAATAGGTTCCAATAGTTTTAATGCTATCTACATCCTCATGCAATCCTGAGGGCCCACCAAATGCCCCACAAAATCCCACTCTCCCCATTGGCCTCTCTCGGAACCCCCGGAGCCTTCTCTTCAGCAACAAGCCCCAAAGAAACAGAGCCCTGGGGATAACCTGAGGCCAGAGCAGACATCCTGGCTCCCCTTCCAAGAGCCCAAAGGGCCGAAGGGAGGTTCCCGGGGAGGGAGGGCGGCAGCAGCCTCACAGGCCAGAGAGCCGCTGGCTGCCACGCCACACTCTGCAGTTACTGCTGCGGCCAGCTGGGCACTCCGCCGGGGCTGGGGTGAGGAGGCAGCTGACCTCAGCCCGGAATGCTGTCCATGCTGGCCGGGCATCTCCAAGTCATGCCAGACCAGACATTTGATCTACTGAACCTCTCTGGGCATTATACCAGCCAGCACATGGTGTTGGCCACATCACTCACTCATCAGGGCCCTCCCTGCCATCAGTCCAGAAAGACAGCAACTAGACTAGAGAAATGAAGCCATTCAAAACCCAACAGCACAGTGTGAAGGCTCAGGCACCTCCGGGCCAGGCGGCAGGGAGCGGTCAGGCCCGGCACTCACACAGAGGGCAAGACTGCACTGGGCTGGGGCACCCAGCCGGGCACGTGCAGACACGCAGGTGCATTTGGGCAGGGCGGAGAGGAGCTGGCACAGGCCCTGAGGCCCCCACCTGTCTGAGCACCCAAGGGAAGGAACAGACGGTGCTTGGAGGTGAGAACGCCAGGCAGGCGGTGTTTCCATACCACCGCTCACCTCTGCCTGGAATCCCCACCGCGTCCATAAGCCGCACAGCTGAAGCTGGACTCTCATTTCTTACGTGTCCCATCCAGTGGGAGTCCATGCCAGACTCCATGATGCTTAATAGACATGACCCCGGGGCCTCCCCAGAGGAGCCTTCCATCCGCCACTGCTGAGTCTGCCAGCCTGAGCCAGGCTTCCCCAGAGGAGCCACATCCTCCCTGGGCCTCCCCTTGCAGAGCAGACCCAGGAAGGGCAGTCCTGCAGAGGGCCCCTCGGGGACAGAGGTCCCCGTGGAGATGATGACTCTACTGAGACTGCGGTATGGCCCTTCCTTCTCCAGGCAAAGACAGCCTAACCCCACCCTTCCCCCAGCTCTCCCCGCTCATCACCGCCCCTGCCGGCTCCCTGCTTCCTCTGAGAAGCGCATGGGGCCCTGCAGGGCCCAGACCCCACACAGCTCCCTCCCCCACGGCCCACCCGTCCTCCCCCACACCCCAGCTCCAGCCACACTGCACTGTCTGAGGTTGTGCCAACACACGACTCAGTCTCTCTCCTCTGACACCCCTCTGCCCCAGTATTTGCATACGCTGTCACCGCTGCCTGGAATGCCATCACCTCCATTCCCCTCCCCCACCTCTTCCTGGCCACCCCCTACTCTCTAAGTCAGCTCAGTACCAGCCTCTGGAAAGCCACTCCTGTCACAACAGACCTTCTTGTAGACAGGACAGGACGTGACTCTTCTTCAGTATCAAATGCGCACGTTAGCAATACCCCCTTGCCTCGCTGTGTACTAGTTAAATGGAAGAAAATGGCAAAGCTGGAGACAGGTCATTTACCACCTGAGCCCAGACCAAACCCTGCCATCACTCTCGGGGAGGGGCAGGGAGGAGCACGTACTTCCCTCTCAACACACCCGATCCCCAAAAAGCGAAGTCATGAACTCCCAAGTCCAGAGAGGTCTTAGCCTTTTCTCTCCATGAATTTAATACATCCTCTGCCTTAAAAGTAACCTGGCTGCTACTCGTGACCAGTGACTGGTCATGCCTGTTCCAAGAAAGAGGGCACATCCCGACAGACACAGCACTGGCACCGAGCACCGTCTGGGGCACGTGGCCTGACGCACAGACGGCAACACGCTGGCCTCCTCCTGCACACACATCACTGCTCTGGCCGAGGAAGGCCACGCAGGGGTCAGCCCCGGCCAGCTCAGGGCAGCGCAGGGCGACAGGGAGGGGTCCGGACACACCTTTCTCACATTATAGAAGTCTCGGTGGGGGTTACTCTTCAACTCTTTGAACTCAGACATTTCATTTAACATCTCATGAAGGCTAAATTTGGATTCCAGAAAGTTCAATCGCCGGTGACAATACGTTTTCCTGCAGGTTGGAAAAGGAGAAAAACCATAGTTGAGAAGTCTTGTCAAGTCAAGCTCTGCGGCTTGGAGACTCCAGTGTCTGCAGGGACCGACCCGGGGGGGGGGGGGGGGGGGAGGCCCGGCTTTCCAGACCCCTCTGAGCTGGGTGGCCGCATCCCTGTGCTCTATGAAGTGTGACGCAGCTGGGACTGGGCAGGGAGCTGGCGGCACCGACACAGGTTCTTTGACTTCCAGCTCTATGTGCTTAGACAACTGACCCGAGCCTCTGTTTCCCACAACAGTAAGGAGCTGGCAATGCCCCAGATGAGGGAGGTTAAACTGGTCTTTGCATGTGAAGGGCAGAGTGAGCGCTCAGTAAGTCTCCCTCCTGCACTCCTTCCTTTTTGTTTTCTCCCATCTATCCTCAGCCACCTTTCATTCTTTCAAAGGAGTCCAACTTCTGCCCAGGAGAGCAGCAATACAGTCAAGCCATCAGGCGTGACCTGCCCACCTTAGCATGCAGAGGAACCGCCCTCTGACCAAACAGTTCCCCCCAAACCCCAAGACTCAAGGACCTCTCGACTCTGAGGTTCCATTGTGGGTAGACGAGGACGGTGGAGATGTCTGTTACTTGGACAGAAATCTCTACTAGGACTGATGCCCCCACCAGCTTGCAAAAAAGCCACCAGGGGTGGGTGAGGTGCTCACTGTTTGAGGCCCGCTCCCAGCCCACAACCGCCCAGATGCCTGGCCACAGGCCTGTGCCCACAGCCACACGGAGCCTTCAACCACAATTCATGCCACCTGCTTCCTTGTGCCCCCACAAACAGCAGCTCCTTTAGCATCCAGTCACTCAGACTTTCATAAAGAGCGACTGCAGCCCCGGGAACAGCATGGTCATCTGTCAGCCAAGGTGAGCACCAGAGAAAAGCACAGCAGTGTCTCGGGGTCAACAGGGATTTCAGAGGTCACCTCACCCAGCCCATCTCCCCACAGGATGCTCCTGAACAGCCTCCTAGACAGGGCAACCACTGAGCACATCCTCACCCTCCTTCCCTCCGAGTTCTTCACATTGGCTGAGGTGAGCTTCCCAGGAGCTGCCCCCCCCCCCCAGATCTTATCTGCCCTCCGGTCAGTGAGGAGCAAGAGCCACCTGCCCATCCTCCTTGGGCCCACTCTCCCCCCTTGGAGACTGGCCTCACACCCATTCCCAGTAACACCCAAAAGGCAGGGCAAGACAGAAGTTCCTCAGCGGTGACCAGCATCCTCGCCCTCCCCCAGACCCTAACCTGCCCAGGGACACCCCGCGCAGCCACTCAGGGTCCAGTCCTGCTGCGCTCCCAGTGCTGATGAGCTTCAGTGCTCAGCAAGAAGTGAGGGGCCGAAGTCCAGAAGACAACTGTCTGCCGGGTTAGCATGAGCCAAGCCCGCAAGCACCATGGGGTCGTGGCGCAAAGTCCGCAGGCTCCTGCACTGTCCCCTCCAGAAACACAGAAAACCCAACAGCCTTCCACAGGAATGCCCTCAGCTGGTGACTGTTCAGGGCTGTCTTCATGCCCAGGGAGAAGGGTGACTGTCGACCTAAGGTGCACAGGTGGCCACCAGCCTACAGCTGCCCCACACCTGTGCATGAGGATAGGTAATACCAACTCTAATACGCCAGCTTATGATGGAGGATTGTTGCAGAAACCCGCTAAGCACCAGGTAGAGGGGAAACACTCTCTTTCTGGGATGGTTTAAGGGCAAGATAACCCAGAGCAGAGGGGTGGCCTCGATGGCTGTTCCCAGCCCCTTTCCTACAAAATAGCACCCATGCACGAAGAGACGGGGGGGGGGGGGCTGGCTTACGTGGGGCCATCAGTGATGAGGGCCAGGACGTGGCTCATGTCCACCGTGTAGGTCTCCAGGTCGGGGTAGGGTAGGCTGTGGGGCTCCTGGCGCTCCAGCATCTCCTTGTTACCGTACACGAAGAGGATGCCCCCTTGCATGCGGACCAGGTACCCCAGGTTGGGGGGAGCATCGTCTACACGGTAAGGGTCTTCCTGGGGCCCTGGAAGAGGGTGGAAGTCTGCAAAACAGGACAGAGTGATGGCAGCGTGTCCTTGACCTCATGCGCTCACGCGGGCTCAGAAGGCGCATTCTCAGCGAGGCGTGTCCTGGCCATCCTACATAAAACCCACTGTCCCCAGCAACCCCCACCTGGCACCTCATACCACCTTCCCTGCTGTTTGTTTCCTTAGCACCTGCTACCATGTGGACAATCTCACTCAGCTGTCTTGGGTGGTGTGTGTTTGTTTTGCTCACTGCTGTACCCTCACTCCCTCGGACAGCCCCCGGAACATGGCTGGCAAATGTTTTCCATTTAACTGAAATGAGCTGAAGCCTCCTGGGCACGTCAGGGCCGCCAAGCATATTAAAAAGAGCAGCTGTGTCTTCTCCTAATAAGAGAACAGACAGCACCGGGGACTGCCCAGTGGGCACAACTGTCCCTGTCCTCCCACAGCTCCCTGCAGCCTCCCCTCCGCAGATGAGCGCAGAGCAGGGAATGCCCCCGGCAGAACTGTCTGCCCCACCGCCAGGGTTGAGTTAGCCCACAGGAGGCAGAAAACTGCTGGCTATTTCCCAGCTGCGACGTGAGCGAACCACGTCACCTCTGGTCCGGCTGCTCCTCTGAGGATTCCCACCCCTGCCTCCATAGCCTGCGGCGCGGGCTGCAACCGTGGGTGTGGGAATGTTTTGTAAATAGTAAAGCCCGACATAAAAGTTACTGGGCATCACTCTCAATGACTTTTCCTGGCTCGTGCTAAGGTCTGTCTCTGGCCGAGGGGTGGGGCTGGGGCTCCGCTCTGCCCAGAGGTCCCTGCGGTGTGCCAGGTGTGCCCGTGGCCCTGAGAGGCAGGCAGTACAGAGGCCTGGGCGGAGCCCCAGCTCCCACCCCCACACTCAGGCCCAGGGCCCCTCGGCTTACGGTTTGTATCAAGTACACATTTGACAGTCATTCCTGTCTGCCCTTGGGCAGGTGGCATCAACCTCCCTCAGTCAGGCAGGGAAATGGGCCCAGAAGAGCTGAGATTTACCCAGGGCCCCCGGTGGTAGCAGGTACTCAAAGGCCAGGTCTCAAAGTTTCAAGGAAGCCAGAGCTGACACGCACCACATCCAGGGGGCAGCCGTGGTCATGGGCACAGACCCCCAGGCCCTCACTGGATCCCCCACCACCAACGTTCAATATCGAGGTTTCCTGTTATCCTCATTCATATTACTTACAGTGTCTACTGCTCCTAGATCATTCACAGGCCAAACAGCCCACCAGAGCCCACCTGCCCTCCCTGACCCCCTCCCCCAAAGCCACAGCATAAACAGCTACCACTGACTGAACTCTCACGAGACGCCAGAACGGCACGAAGCATCCCCGTGCATGCCTCCCTGGAATTCTCTCAACCGGCCCAGGGGGTAGGTACTGCTAGTGTTTCCATTTTACAGGCTGAGAAACTGAGGTTTGGAGAAATATTTGCCAAAAAAAGTGGCAGAGCTTAGATCAGAATACAGGTAGGTTTGACCCCAGACGCTACTTCCCCCGGCCCGGAGCACGCCCCTGTCCTTACCCCACCCTCACCCCACCACCAATTCAGCATTTAATGTCTCGTTGTGTTGTTTTAAATACCCCGCATGAGACTGCCTGCCTCCCTGGAAAACGACCAAGATCCGGACTTTCTTCTCTCTCCTGACGTCCACAGCTCAGCTCTGCAGGGGAGGCCCAGGGGATCAACCTTGGGGAAGCCAGCAAACTCGGTATCGGGGAAACCAGTACTCAAGTTCTGCCCTTACAAAACCATCCAGGGAAAATATATCCAGCTGGTAAAAAGTCCTGACCAACTACTAGGCCGTGCCCACCTAGGACCCCCCTGCAGCCAAGGCGCCGTACCTGGGAGGCCCTCTGCTGGAGGTGCTGTGTCCGCCCGCGGATGACCCAGGTACTGGGCCGTGGTCCTGGGGAAGCGGTGGTAGGCGAGCCGGGCATACTTCTCCCGGATCATCAGGGCCTTGGCCAGGCTCTTGGCAGCCTGCTCGTAGTCCTCCACCGTGATCTGCAGGGGAAGGTGTGCAGACAGGAGTTCACGCAGCCGGCCTGAGACCACTGTCCTTAGTAGGATCTGCTGCAAGGCGGGCCCTTGGCTGGCAGCTGGGGACTTGAGTGTCGGGGGCATTCCCACCACTCCCTGACTGACAGGAGCAGCTCGTCGTGCCTACACGGTTTGCACACACTCTGCTTTATGCTGAGCACCTGCTTTCCTTCTGGAGTCTGGAACATGGGGTGTGCTACGCAGATGTATGGCCCCCCTCAGTGAAAACCTTGGGCACAGAGTCTCTCACGAGCTTCCATGGTAGATGACACTTCACACGTTGTCACAACCCTACGACGCTGAGGAACTGTGTTGCGGTGACTCCACTAGCAGAGGGTCTCTTTCAGACTCCGCCCCGGGGACCTGTCCCCTGGGCTGGTTTTGCTCTGTACCCTTTCACGGTAATAAATCCTAGGCAAAGTACAGCTTTGCGCTGAGTCCTAGGAGTCCTCCCAGCAAATTGCTGACCAGCAGGTGGTCTTGAGGACCCAACACAGGAGGAGAGTTAGGGAGGGAGGCAGGTACTCAGGCCTGACACCCACAGCCAGCCTCCAGCGCTGCTGATTAAAATGCAAGCCTGAGGCTGTACCCAGCCCGTGAAGAGGCAAAGCCTGAGCCAGCCCTGTTCCTCACGAGGGTCAGTATCATCATTCTCAGTTGAGAAAACACAAGGGTCCTCTGGAAATAAAAATAAAAACTTCTGCATGTGCACTCTGCTGCTTTGCTACCCCCAGGCTTCTGATTCATCCGGCAATCACCCCGATTCACCCAGTCAATAAGCACTTACTGACTCGTGTCATGTGCCAGACCCTCCCCATAGACTTCACTTGGTCCTCACTACAACCCATTTTACAAATGGGAGAAGGGAGACCCAGCGAGAATGAATCACTCGCCAAGAAGTCACAAGTCAAACTTCAGGGCCTGATGGGATTGCTCCCCGGAGCCCGAGGGGGTCCTGCTGTCCTGGAGTGGCCTCGTGTTCAGAGATGAATGCGGTAAACGCCCACCTCCAGGGGCTCATCAGTCTCAGTCTGTCTGGGAAGGATGTGCTGGGAAGACAAGCTGCTACACTGTCATAACAGCGGAAACGAGGTGCAGCAGAGCAGGGACAGACGCGGCTGAGGCCCGAAAGGGTCCTCCTCTGCTTTAATTAAAAAATATTTTTAGTTTTGAAATATTTCAAACATACAGACAAGCACTAAAGATAAGATGCCAGACATCTATGTATCTTCCTTCCAGAGCCAACAAGTTTAACATTGTTTCATCATTGTTTCCAGTCTCTTGTGGGTTAGAATACATAAATCATCCCAGACACAGCTGAAATACCTCCTCCTTCCCTCCCCTCCTCCACCCCCTCCATCCTCAGAGGAAGGGAGCTGGAGTATCTTTTCCATGCATGGTTTCATCCTCTTACTAAATGTTTACTCCTTGCTTTTGGCTAAGGAAGTAGTTCTCCTATCCTGACTCCAGGTGTCCCCATGACAGTGCGTCAATCCACCTTCGCCCTTCCGGTGGACGGCTTCTGAGAGCAGCAGGGACAGGTGAGCAGACAACGCCTCAGACAAAGCAAACACTAGTCTGCAGAACAATGGCCTCAGCACAGCAAGGGGCTCAGGCCACAGCTGCCGGTATCAGAGAGGGTGCTCAGGATCCCAGGGGACCAGCGGCCACCAACCAACGTGTAGGCACCACAGCCTTTTGCCGACAGCACACCCACCGGGGGCCAAGACATCTGCGCAGCCAGCCTGCCTGTCTGTCACAGACTTGTAGCTCTCTGGGACCAACCGCCCTGATCAGGGGCTCCATGCCCTGTGACGTGCCAGCCACAGAAGCTAGTTAATGCCCCAGGTCAAAGGCCTCCCATTCAACTGGCTGTCAGCCCACCTCGACTCTCCCTCTACTGCTTTGCCCACATGCCAGAGGCTGGGTGGACCCCAAGGACTCCTAGGCAGGAAGCTGCATCCTCAGACAAACCTGCATTGTTTCCAGTCCCACCAAAATTCCCATCCAGGGGCGCTTAAATAAGACACTGCACATCTACAGTGGAATACTACACATTTGTAAAAGAGAACAAGGAAGTTCCTTATCTAATGATACGGCATCATCTCCAAGATGTTAAGTGAAAAAAAGCTAGGCTCAGTTGTGTAAAGTGTATAGTAAACCATTCTTGGGTACAAATAAATAAACTATGAGTACATAATTAGTTGTAAGTGCACAGGCCATCTGCGTGAGAACACACGAGAGGCCAGAGTGAGGGCTGCCTCTGAGAAAGGGGATTGGTGCTGGAGAACAGATCTAATTTTTGTACCTTTTAAATCTTATACCATACGCAAGGATTCTCTATTGCCCCCCAAAACAATATTTTTCGTTATCGCTAGGGAGAAATTTGTGAGAAGAGTCGTAAGTTACTTTGCTTTCTCAGGTAGACTATGTATTCTAAAACTGCTGTCAAAAGGAAAGCAAAAGACAATCACAAGGCCCACTGAGGCACAGTAGTAGTAGGTTGAGGAACAGGGAGATAGAATGGAACTCAACCCCGGCACGAACTTCAGTGATATTTCTCTTCCCAGAGTAAAAAATAAAAATGCATCGTCCCTGCCCTGGCCAGTTTGGCTCAGCGGTTAGAGCGTCGGCCTGTGGTCCAGAGAGACCCGGGTTCGGTTCCCGCTAAGGGCACGTACTTCGGTTGCAGTTTGTCCCCGGCCCTGGTTGGTTGTGCGGGTGGCAGCCACTCGATGTGTCCCTTCATGTCGATGTTTCTCTCTCTCTCTCCCTTCCACTCTATCTGTACAAAAAATGGAAAAATATCCTCGGGTGAGGATAAAAAAAAAAAGCATCGTCCCACCAGGTGAAACAAGCACATTTTCAGCAACTGAGTTAACTTACTCGGTGTGTAATCAGCTTGTTCACTGCCTCATCAAGACCCTCTCTCGCCCTGGCCGGTTTGGCTCAGTGGTTGGAGCATCGGTCTGTGGACCAGAGAGTCCTGGGTTTGGTTCCCCCTAGGGGCACGTACCCAAAAAAATAAAAGACCCTCTCTCCCTGGTTGGGGGGGCTAGCCTATATCTAAGGATGCTAAGCCTAGCATGTGGGAAGAGTTGAATCAGCAAACCAATCAACACTAGGAATTTAAATCCATTCAACATTTGGGAGCTTTCCTCCGTGGGCTCACTACAGGGTCAGAGAAGCACGGACCTGACAGGCTAGGGCCACTGCGTGCCAGCTCATAGCCCCAGGCCCTCCTCACAGGGATGGACAGCACCCTAGACACACCCATCCCCCGTACCTCAGCCAGGACCCTCCTTCTTCTCCCATTCCTATGCCTGCTACCTCCCAGACACCCACACACCAGCCAGGCTTCAGGACTGGGCACAACCAACGGCCCAAGGTGCCCCGGCCTCTGCACAGGGCATCTACAACCCTCACACAGAGCCCACGGAGAAGGGAGCGGGAGAACCTTACCCCGGCACAGTAATCCCCGCTGATGGTCACCCGCTGGTACTCGGGCATGCCGTAGGGCGCCGGCACAGGCTGGGAGGTGGCCCCGGGGAGCACAGGGGCCGCGGGAGGCATGGCTGGAGCAGCTGTCGGGGGGCCCTTCCAATCTTGCTGCACTGGCATTTGCAGAGACAGCGACTGGGACCGAATCATCTTGAAACTTTTCTTTCTAAAAGCCAAGCACAAGCAGAAGTGGGAGATGTCAGTAGCTAATTGGCACCAGTGACATACAGTCTTGTTACACACACGGTGGGAGAATTTTGCTCTGATTAATCACTGATGCCGGCCCTGCCGCTGAGAAGGTCTAATTGCTTACGCCTTCCACTTTCACACATCTCCTGGCACAAGATACGGAGCTTCCATCCAGACGCCGCCTGCGGTCACTAGGAAGGACCGTAGGCTGTCCGCACTGTACGAGTACACAGTGACTCAGGAGATGGAGGGCAGACACCCCGAGGGTCTAACAGTGAGGACAGAAGAGGTAAGGACAATGTCAGATCAACCAGTGTGCTATCTTCAGACAACCCAAACGCTAAGTCCTGGCATATGAAGATCCTCAAGAAGGAATGAGCAGGCTCACAGAGGGAAGTGACACTATTTCACAGAGTTAGAAATTTGGAGCATTGGCGCAGAAGACATCAAGACGATGGACCAGTCCCACCTCCTTGTTTCATAAAATAAAAGCCAGAGGCCCAGAGATGGGAAAGGGCTTACTCAAAGTCACAAGGCAAGGTGACAGCTAGCCCTTGGCCTCCCCGCTCCCTGGTACCTGCTCTGCCTGCCCCCCCCCACCCCCCCCCGATGCTCAGTCCTCAGCCTGACGTGCCTTCCTAGCTGCTTCTGCTGGGCAGGCACAGACCTGTGTCTCTGTTATGAAAAACAGATTAATCAGCATCAATTTCAGGTCGCTCTGGACCTGTCACCTTCGCACCAAAAGATGGCTTCACAAACTCTTGGAGAAGTGGGCACAAGAAGCTTGGTTTAAGATGCTACACACTCATGCTTACTTGCAGTGCTGATCTGTGAATACTTACCTTTCTCACTAAATAAATAGTAACATTTCAAATGACAACACCCCAAGTCCTGGGATCCCAAGAAAGGAGTCAACAGCAGTGAGGTGAGGCCCTGAGCACTCTGCTCTCCCATGTCTCTTTCTGCCTCCAAAGGAACCCAGCCCCCTAGCAAGGCCACCCCTGGTGTCCACTGCCAGAAACAAGGGGACTACTTCCCCTACCTTGTGCCAGAGGGCCCAACAGCCTATGGACATTTATCCACCACAGCCAGGGCCTACAGCCACCAGCAAAGAACTCGGTGACAACCGTGACCCACCAGAGTCCACCAAACCCCTCCTCTTTGCTAGGCACCAGTGACACCTGTAGGGTGTGGAGAAATCGGTTAATCTCCACAAGGCTCATGGCTCACAGGAAGCAGCTGCCTTCTTCCTGGCTCTTGGCCAGATCTCTTCACAGACCCACTGATGGTTTTTCAGGAGCCATAGTTCCTTCCCCTGTTTATATACCCACCACTTGTCATGACTCTCTGGTCCTTATTACCTCCCTGGGAACAAGGCTGTGTCCACCTGGAAAATAGAGGTGACCACTTTTCAGGAGTCTGTTTTTGCCCTGGCCTTGGCCTTGCAAACAGGTGCACTGGGTTGTTTGGAAAATTCAGCCTGAACGAACTCCAGGAGTCTTGGGACCAGCCTTCCCCAGCCTGCCATTCATTCATCACACAGAGCTGAGCCAAGGAAGATGCCAACTCATGTCGGTCCGTCATCACCCTGAGTAATGAGGTTCTCACTTTGGCATTGTTTGGATATTCACATTTAGAGGAAGAGCCATACTTCAGGCTCCCTCTCACATTCTGACGGGCTCCCTCAGGTCCCATGAGGCTGGCTTCTGTGTCACTCACATGCTTGCCAGGTCACTGTTTTTAATCTCTACGCCAACTTCCACATACGCCTCAGCCAGTGCCGCCTGATGGCTGGCCCCTCCTAGGAGAAGCAAGGTGACGTGTAAGGTGAGCAACAGGTAAGAACAGTAAAAAAGCCCCCGACAGTCAGGAAGCTGGAAGGCTGACTAAGCCATCACACCACCAGGCTTGTCCTAGAAATGTCCACATTCTCCTGCCCTGAGACAAAGCCAGTATCCACCTGCTAGTGTCCAAAGAATTCTTCTTCTTGAAGACATTATTATGGCTCCAGCCTTGGTCTCAGGTGAGTCCCAGATGTCACATGTGAACATCCATGGGCTGGAGCTCAGACTTTGCAGACACAAGGTTTAACACCAGATGGGCCAACTCCTCGGACAGACTCACCTTAGGCAAGGGCTTGGAATAACCAGCGCTAACCACTAAGCTTGGATCTCAGATCACTGGGAAAGCTAAATGGAGCCCAAGGAGAGGGCCCTGTGTGCATTTTCTCTTGCTGCATGACACATTGCCACAGTCAGATGACTTCAACAACGCCCGTGTCCTGGCTCACAGGTCTGCAGGTGAGAGGTCTGGGTGGGCATCGCTGGACTCTGCTCAGGGTATCGAAGGCTGAAATCAAGATGTTGGCCACACCGAGCTCGTATCTGGAGACTCTGGGAGAAAATCCACTCCTCAGCTCATTTAGGGTGCTGGCAGGATCCAGTTCCATGGGGCCAGACTGAGGTCTCTGGGTCCTTGCTGGCTCCTAGGCAGGTGTCACTCATCCTTGCACACAGACCCCTCCATCTTCAAAGCCAGGCATGACACCAGGCTCTGGCGCTCCGAACCTCTCTGACATCCTCCTGTACGACCAGCCTGGGAAAGCTCCCTGCTTGAAGGGCTCATGGGATTAGGTGAGGCCCACCTGGTAACCTCCCTGTCCTCAGGCCCACGGTGCCATATACCACCGCATAATCCCAGGAGTGATGTCTCATGATAGTCAAAGGGTCTGGAGATTAGGGAGGGGCATCGTTGGGGGGCCATTTCAGAAATTCTGCCTACCATAAGCCCATACCTAGTGTCCATTCTATACAACCGAGGCTCAGCCCACAACAGTGAGAACAGCAGCTATGTGTGTGTGTGTGTGTGTGTGTGTGTGTGTGTGTTTACACACATCTGTCTTTCCCTCTCAACGCTGTCTGAAGTTCCACACGTGTCACAACAGTAAAAGCTTAGCATAACTGTTATCTGAATTATAGAGCCATGAGGTCTCCTGGCTAGAAAGGACTTTAAAGATGACACACCCCAACCCTCTCATGAAGGCAGCCTTTCTTGAATACCTCCAATGATAGAGAGCTCACTACATTTCTGAATAACACATTAGCATTCAAACATTATTCAAAAAAATGTGTCAAGCGTCTACTCTGGGCTAGGCCGGTGTCAGGCACATAAACACACAGTGAGCAAAGTATGATCTGCTGCCACTGTTAGAAAGCATTTCCTTGTGATGGGCCAAGATCTGTCTGTCCACAGAACCCGCTGCACCTCGTGCTACCCCTGGGCACCAGAGTAAGCCAGCTCGCTCTGCCACAGCTGACACACCACTCCTTCCCTGCCCACGCGTCCACCTGGCAAACACACCGTCCTGCCAGAACGCTGGCAGGGTGTGGGGCTGTGAGGACACCAGCTCCAGGCCGAGCCACAGCCCAAGGGGGCGGGGAGCGGCTTCATCCTCCTGGGCCGCAGGTTGTCAACACAAGACGGTGAACAGCCTCTCTCAGCGGTTCTGGTGTCCCCACCTGCTCTATGGCCCTCGGCTGCCTCTGCCCTTCACTGTGTCCCCACCCTCACCCTGCCCACTCCCCAGCCCTCCTCAGCTCCCAGCGTCTTCAGTTCTAACATTCGATGTATATGCTAAACCCAAGTCAAGGACCAGGGCCCTCCTTGCTCTCCTCGAGAACGCCGGCGTGCCCAGAGCCTCTGAAGCCCCTGCCCCGCGTGTCCGCCCAGAGGGCTCCCTAGCAGGGAGCGGTGCGCAGCAAGCCTTCCCTGGAGGCTCTCAACCAGGCACAGTGAGTCAGGGGGTCGCATGTGGACCCCACCCCCATCAATAAACCACGTGGGCCACGCCCTGGGGGTAGACGGATTGATCAAATATAAGCCCTGACTCCAGGGGCGGATTGGTGATGGCGTTGACGCTTAGATAGTTCAACAGACTGTCATCATTGTTATCACACAATGTGGTTGGTGTGGTGAGAAACCCTGGATATTTGGGGATCCCAGAGGAGACACCCAATCCAGACTGGGGGTGGGCACAGTGGAGTCAGAGAAGGCTCCCGGCATCATTCCCAGAGGGAGAGAGGAACATTCCAGAATCGGGAGGCTTGTTTGAACTGCTTCCCCACACAGAGATCTTTCTGGCAACCTGTACCCCTCCAGATGAGATACACTAAAGCGGTGGTTCTCACCCTGCCTAATGCCGCGACCCTTTAACACAGCTCCTCATGTTGTCTGTGGGCGTGTCTGCGTGTGGGCGACCCGCCTGGAGACCGTAGAGCAGCGGTGTCTCGGTTCCTAACACCATCGGAAATACGTGTTTTCCAATGGTCTTAGGCGACCCCTGTGAAAGGGTCGTTCGACCCCTAAAGGGGTTGCAGCCCACAGGTTGAGAACCAAAGGCAGGGGTCACACAGCAGCATGGATTTTATTAACAAATGGAATCTGAATGCCATTAGGTGGGACAGGCAACCCCCACGTCCACAGGCTGCTGTGCGCCTCCTGCCTCCTCTGTCACTGCACTGACTCGCGTGGAAGTGAGGACCCCAGGGCTGAGGAGGGAAAGGCTGAAGAGCTGACACCTACTCTGTGACTGAGACCAGAGGAGAAGGCGGCAGCAGCCAGCCACGATGCTGCTGCAAGATGGACCACAGGAGGGTGCTGGCGCCCACCGCCAGCCCTTACTACTCTGCCCCAAGTGACCTGCCACCAAGTGGCCTGCAGCCGGACCAGGTGGGTGTAGCTCTGATCTGCAAAACTGAAGCCCACTGGGTGTGCAGACTCACAACCTCAAGGCCTTCATTCCCTCTGATAGATAATCAGCCCCTTCCTATGGCTGTCCCCCCCTCCCTCCTGACCAAGGGCCCCTCTCCATTCACCCGCCTCCTCCTGTCTCCCTTCCCCAGTCCTCCCAGCTGCCCTTCCTCCCTCGAGATCCCAGAAGTCAAATTGAGGTACAATCTTTACTACTGTTTAAATTAA